GAAATTGCCCAGGTGGAAATCTTCCTCCCCATCAGGCACCACTGAATTTCCCTTCTAAATCCTTCACTTCGACTCACCAGTACTAGTGAATATAAACCGTAACTCCTGTTGGAGGGTTGCTAAAGCCTGCCTCAGCCTGTCATATGAATGCTCATCTTTTGACTGAGTATATCATAGTAATATTTCAATTCAGGTAGAAGTACAGTTGTCACTTGAAGGAAATAGACGTGGAAGGAAGTCTGGGGAGGGGTCGGAAGTTGGGAAAAGAGAGGATAATGAATAGGGGTCATAGCTTTAGCACTGTTGAGCCACATTCCAGAGCAGATCTGTAGCATTTGTTTTTGACCTCTTCTGAGGTGAACTCCCCCATAGGAGCTGCCAGACAGCACTGAGACATGGAGGAAATTCAGACAGAAAATGGCTTACCCTGATAAGGAAGGGGAGAGTGACTATATATTTTAAACTTGCTTTTTCCAACACTGTGAGGTTTCTGTAATATTTAGCTTTTATTTGGAAGCGATAGCGTATGGCATTTTTTATGCTGTTTGGTTTATATTGTCTACTGCAGGCTTCTTTGTATAAGCTTGGCCTGGGCTCACCCTCTCCTGGACACTGTTTTAAAGTGTCACAGCTGCCCATGCTGCCAGAGGCTCTGATGTGAAGCTACACTCTAGATCCACATTTTTAAGTCGGCATGATTGGTGATGACTTTCTGTGACAATAGAAAAGCACATTAACCAAAAACAAAAAACAAAAAACAAACAAAACCATAAAAAGGAAAGCAAAATAGAAGTTGTGCCTCATTTTTCATTGAGTGCTATATTTATTATTCTAGAAAAGGAGAACTTACAAATGGAGAACTAATAGAGCATCTGCTTCATCCCTCAAGCTGTCCAAGGGGGAAATATTTAACAAAAATGAACATTTAATGGAAAATTAAAAGATCTTCAAATTTAGTTTTTAAAAAGTTTTCTACCAAATACTATAAGGCTGTTAAGCAGATTAAAACATTGTAAAACAGGGGCTTAATTTAGCTGAACACCCCTGTATCAAATTAATAAAATTGTTTCAAATGAGTTGGAATAGAAACCAATATCAGAGTCCTCACTAAGCTGCACACTCATGAAGGTGCCCCTGCAGTCAGACACCTCAGGTACCAGAGGCAGCAGCACTAGACGCTGTTGAGACGTTAGTATTTATGAGATTTTTTATTAAAGAAGAGATCCCTGCTACATAAGTAAATGGCTGTTATGAGGGAAATGCCCCTTTGCCTTTAATTTATTTACATATTGGAAGTAGATGAATTTCTTAGTTGCATCTTACAGTATTTTACATTGAAACATTCTAAAGAGAAGAAAGTAAGAACCAGGTAGAATTTGACTAGATACTGCCAAATCAAAGCCAAGATCTCCTAACTGAACCTAACAGACCTGCTTCTCTCCCAGACCAGTAGTTAGTGTCCCATTCCAGGAACCCTTAGCTGTTGGCTGGTGTGTTTACTTTCTGCTGTAGCCAGCCAAGATGAATGCACCCTGGCCCTCAAACAGGATTTTTACCTCAGTCTAGCTTGACCTTCATACTTGTGGTTGCCTCGGAGATGAGCATCCATGCTAGCATAAAAGAGATTAGGAACGCCCTCAACAGCCAGAATCTGAAGCTCTTACTAAATAGTGGACAGAGCTCTTTGCCAGCTTTGATCCCGCCCCTCTCAGGCTGAGGGGGGCAGTGCTACACTGTAAAGAATTTCCAGATGTCTCTTTAAGTGTCATGAATAAAATTGGAAACTGTAGAAGTGTTAATGTGTCCTATGGACTCAATAGCAGAGTTTATTTTTGTTTTTAAAGATAAGGCTTCTAGAGTCAATGATTGTATGAGTTCCCTTCTCTTCCTATACTTACAGTTCCATCCAAGTGCAAGAACTAAGGGAGTGAGTTGGCTGGCAGTGGGGCATGGCCCTAGCCAGGCCCCAGCCTAAGCCTAAGAATTGACAGTAGTGCAGAAATGAAAACTTGGTTGGGTGTGGGGGGTGGGATGTGGGTGGATAGGCAGGGAAGGAGAAATGGAGTTTGTTTTACTTACTGATAAAGCTTTGTGAACTAATTTTATACAATTCATAAAATTTGGTGCCTTGTACCCAATTACAGTTTGCATGGGACTGAACAGATTAGAATTCCTTCTTGTCATTTCAAGGGGCAAATTGGTTTGTATAGTGTAAAGGACATTTGGTATCAGATTTTTTAAAAGCATTTCGTATCTCATGTGTGAAAGCAAATTATTCTCACCAGCAAGATCTGAAATGTTTTGTAATGTCCAAAATCCGTATTTGTGATTATTCATGAAATGTCTGCTTCTCAAGGGAGACTGTGTACCCCACTCTCTTTCACTACCCTTTTTATGTTTAAACCGTTAATTCGAGCCTTTTCAAATCAGGCTGGGACAGCTACCTTTCTTAATCATGTACTATACCCCAATCTGGGGTTGTATCTTATGAGCGGAAGGGTTGCTTTTGCAGCTGGTTGGGAGAGCACAAACATTCAAAAAAAGGCTTCTTCATTTTTCTAATGCTGGGCAATTTATGGAAGAAATTAAACAAAAATGGTTCCCCCTGAAATGCTGCCTTCATTAGTTTTGAAGTTCTTTTCTGGAAAATTTCAGAAAGCAGTGTAGAACACAATCCCCTATAAGTGAGCCTTTAATTTAGATTTTAAGGCAAGCCAGTGCACTGTTTAATATGCAAAAGAGAAGGCTCAAAGCACCTGTCCCAGCCCTTCTACCCTGCAGGTGCTGACCAGGATGGCGCTGAGTGACTGTGGAAGGTTAAGACCCAGTTTGCTTACCTGCAGGACTGTTCACAGTCCTTTTACTCGAACCTCAGAATTTCCACCAACTTCATTAAGATTTCACTAAAGAGTGTTTAAAGCCCTCCACTCAAAGCACATTTAATGATTGGGTCCTTCAGCCTAATAACTGGTTTATTTAGGTGAAGAGGTTCTATCTTTGGAGTAAAACCTTCCATGGCCACTTATTTTTTTACTGGGTAAGTATGCATCTCCCTGGTGGCTCAGACTCTTTTTTTAAGTTCACCCTACAGCTGAAAGCGCCTTCCAGATATGACTGAGTTTAGCTTTTATCTTCCACATTTAAATTACCCACTCTCTCGGTCTAGGGCTTTGACTTTAACCACTGTGTACTCGTTCAACCCATACATTGCTCTAAATACACCACAGCTGCTATTGCATTGATGTGAATGGTTATTTTTGTGGGCTCTTTCCATACTTATTCTATTGGCATGTTTTCATTTAAAATCTGAATAGTGTAAGAGATTTTCATAGTACTGTGTTAATTAGTGTGGACTGAAAACTGACAGGATGTAAAAATGACTTCCCTTGGAGAGAATGTTATGTGTTGGATGGTGAAAGCCAGCACTTTCATTTATAGAATGATTATTCATCATGATTTTTGAAATGATAGATTTGGTAGATTTGCTAGTCTTACCACTTTGAGGAATTAAGCCAATTTAAATGCAACTTTAACTTACCAGCATATGGCTTTACAAACCAACAGTGAACACATTAAAGCTAAAACATTTTTAAATTTTTAAAAAATTTTAAAGTTGACATACAATATAAAATATTAAAATTTTGAATGAAATTTCAGTGATGATTGTGAAAGCTACCACGTCTTAATTGTTGCTGGGTTTTGATTTTTAACTTTGAAAGTTCTTATGAAATATAACTGCTCACAAGAGATCTAGTAGCAGACTTCAAGGATGTAAGTTACAGTAATGAAAAAACAGGAGGCGCTCACATTTGTCTTAGTGTCTGATGCAGGTGGGAAGGGGCATAGATCTATGCTGTGGCTTAAACATTTCCTTCCTGGTCATGATTTTAGGGTTGATGGCTTCAGACCTAAGCCTTGCTCTCATATGTGTGTGACCCTTCCTGACCTTAGCATTTGGTAAGACATAACATAAGTCTGTCACATCATCTGTGGTTCCCACTGTAGACTCTTAAAGGGTCTGGGTTTCAGCCACAGCCCTGAATCCACTGGCTCAAACTTCTTCCTCCTATCAGACTGGGACCTACCTGATTAATACTCCTAAGAGAATGGTGCTTTTTAAAAGAAAATATATTTAAAATCTAATTCTCAAACAGCTTTCTTAGTGAGACCTATGCCAGCAGAGTCAAGAGGGACTATTTTGTCCTATTTATATTTAGGGAATAGATTGCTAGAGACAACATCTGTCAACTGTGACAATTAGGCCACTATGGTACATTTATACTGACTCTCCTTTCCAATTCATGTCCCTTAATCCCATACCAGTTCCATAAGAGACTTGGCACAGAAAAGCAGTATTTTTTAAAATGCCTACTAGAGTAAGTTAACCAGGAAAAGAACTGCACAGGGCAACCTGTCTGTTTCCACATCTCTCCTACGTGAGTCTTTCCAGGCCAGTTCGTACATACTCCATTTCCAAAGAACCCCAAACTCCTGGACAGTGGCACTACTATTTCTGACCCTGAATTTCAGGGTCAGAAAATACCTATTTCCTTGTGAAGGAAGCAGTTTTCTCAGGCAGACAGCTGCTCATTTTTGTGGCCACCACCCAGGCTTGCTTAACACCTTGCCTCCACCTGCTCATCACTGTCCTCTTTCTGCCGTTCTGTTACAGCAACAATGCCTTCCTGGTGCCTGGAAAACCCACCTGGTGCACTAACATGCTATGCAACACCAGATGGCTTCTTCCCCTAGTAATGCTCAAAAATGGAAATTCCTCAATAAGCTTCATTCTATGTTAACATCAATGTACGGTGGCTAGTTTCCAATGCTTTTTTTCCTTTTAATATGAAGCAAACCACCTCTGTTACAATCCATGTTTGGGGCTTGTTCCTGTCTCGAGTGTGAAATATAAATCATGTTTTTATGGTTTTTGTAAATCGACTTTTTACACCTTGTTTTTGTAAACTGAAGTTTCTTATTAAAAAATATTAAAAAATGGCTTTGTGTACAGTCTTTATTTCAAATAACATTTAAAATGCCATCAGGTCATTCCTCAAGACGAGCAAAAATCACACGCGGCAGAAACTTAGGAACTATGTACAGAACTTTACAAAACAGAGGACAATGCTTTAGCTGAAGCCTGACTGCTGAGCAGAGAATGGAGTTCTGAGTGAACTCAGCGAAGAAAGAGATCAGGCAGGGAAGGGAAGGTACCCGTCTGAATCAAACTTCCGCTGTTATCAGGGCAAGTCTTGTGATGGTCACAAATTGGAGGCTCGGTGTTTGAAGGTTCAAGTACAGCATGCGTTCCATGTGTCTGCAATCAGACGACAGGACAACAGGTGGTATTAGAAATGTAAAAGCACTGGAGGAACATTGGTAGACTCAAATCCCTTCTAACATGAGAACACAGTTAACTAGAATATTGCTAAGGGTTTTACATCAAGCCTCCTTCCTAGATTTTGCGAACATCTGATAAAGTTACTGCTTCTCCTAGCCTGTAGGAACCTTAAGACACACTGTGCAGTGGTTAAGTGCCTACCTATTTGGCTACACCCCTGGCTGAGGTGCCATTAGGTCAATGTCACTCAAGTTCCTGGCCAGCCAAACTCCCGCAGCGAAAAGTCCCAAGTTTAGGATCAAGTTCCTGGAAAAAGAATGTATTCTATTAACCCTGTGGTCACTGAGTGAGTCACTTAGGGGGAAAAGGCTTCCCACCCCCACCCTGGGGAAAACGAGGCAAAAACACTTCCTAGATTGCAGGAGCGTTGGTCGTTATATGGTAGGTTGTCCAAAACCCACAGTTACTTAGACTTGGTTTCTGTGTCTAATAAGAGGTGGGTCAAACGCAAAGACCAACTAAGCACTCGTTCGGGGGCCGAAACGCCCATTTATGTGTTAGCGCCTCCTCTTCCCGCCCCCCTTCTCCGTCAGAGTGAAATTCTCTAGATCTCAGGGAGATGACAGAAAAGATCCGCTTCTGCCGCACGGGAACTCTCCCGGTCAAGGACCTCAGCAAACCCCGGCCAAAAACACCTAGAGGCCTAGACGCTGGCAGTTTCAAAAACCCGCAAGCGCCAGCCTGGGCGAAGGAAAATGCGGCAGGTTATGTACACGGACGCGGAGGGGGCAGAGAGGGACCAGACTCCCAGGCCTCGGTTACCTCCGGAAGTCATTCCTATCGGTGGCGAAGCGGTAGACGCCCCGAAGCCAATCTCCCACGTTGTCAGGAATTTCGGAAGCTTCGTTTGCCGAGCCGCCAGGGTTCACACCAGCCCCACTGGAAGCCATCGCAGCCACTTCGCGCCCCTCAAGGCTTCTGACGTAATCGTGTCGGCGCAGACGGATGACGCAATTTCCCGTCTCGCCCGCTGGCCCGCTACTGGCAGCAGAGGGCGCCGTAGCTTGAGCGAGGTCCATCGTCCGCGAGACCGGTATCACTCTCGGGCCGAGCGCCCACTAGCTCTGCAAGAGGAGGAGCGATGCCGGGCTCTGCAGTCCCCCGGTCCGGTTCCACCTCCGGCTCCCTTCAGGCCTTCGGCTAGCCAAGCCGCTTACTTCACACGTGGTCTCTGAGTGATCGTTTCATTGGCTCAGGAGGAGGATGCTGGGGATCGAGATGCCCCAGCCACAGGTGTCGGAGTAGGGGCTAGCTCAACAGGGGCTGCAAGGCTTTGGAGAATGGGGTTCCCCAAGAAAGTCTCCGTGAAAAGTCACAGAATGCTTGGGCTGAAGAGGGAGTACTCAAATTTGCCATCTCGCTACCTTCCCCAGGCGTGTCACTGATTGCATTCAGTCTATGATTTTTATAGGGGGGTGGGGAGAGAAGAATCTCCGTCTAAAGCCTTACAGATCACACCTCCCCCAACTCTCCGTTCTCTGGGCTGCGCAACTAGCAAATGGTGCAATGCTTCCTGGACGTGTCGCTGCCCTCAGCTTGCAGGCTTTCGGGGGTCATACAGAGCCGGGGAAGGCGCTGGCCTAAGAAAAATCCTTCGGGTTCAGAGTCAGAGGAAGAGGAGCAGGTGGGGCAGGGGACGTCCTCCTTGGGATCAATGGGCGTCTCCAGGGGTCCCTGCTCTCCCACTTTGGGTGCCTTAGCCTTGTCCCCTGCTCGGCACTCCTGCTCCGGGTTGGTTCCAAGCAGCCCCGTCTGGGTTTCCTGACTGGAGCTGGCAGCAGTAGCAAGGGCTGCTCCGGAGATGGTCACGCAGTGTAGTGGGGCGCGGTGCCCTCCTTCAACTCCGTCGAGCCCCGCCTCCCCTGTTCCGGGCCGGGTAAGGCACGCCAATCTCAGAGCCCCGAATCCACGCCCAGACTCGGGTGGGGGGGCCCTAAGTAGCTAAGTCCAGCCTCCCGGCCCTCCCCTGAGCGGTGCGCGCAGCCACCGCCGCGAGTCCTCTCCGGGGCTCCCCACCCATCCCCGCCTCCGCCCACCAGAGGGCGGCCGCGTCCCCAGTCCAGGAGCGAGTCCCGCGCCGCAGCCTCAACCGCGGCGCGGGGTGGGCTCGGGAGGCCCTTGGAGCGCTCCGGCCAGGGATGCGCGGTGAGAGCTGCGGGCCCCGAGGCTCGGGTCTGGGGGATGAGGTTGGAGGACTAGGGGCGCTGCTGGAGGGACGGGACGGCGTAGGACCGGGGCGAGGGTTCCAGCCCGGGAGAACTCCCTCCTCTGCCCAGCCTAAGACGTTGTCCCCTTCCCCTTTGATTTGCACCTTCCCTCCCTTACCAAGGGACGACCTTCCTTCTAGGGTCGCGGCCGGGCTCGAGCCGACGTCCGAATAACGACTCTTAAAGCAGCTGGGGCAGCACGGGCCGCCCCCCTGCAGGGCATAACGTCCTCCGCCCAAGGGCCCGGCGCAGTCCTGGCAGCAGAAGTGGTTCTCGTGCCAGCGCTGTCCCTCCGCCTCAGTGCAGCGCCGGGAGAAGATCAGCTGGGAGAGGGAGAGGGGAACGGCTCATTCATTCATTCACTCATTCATTCATCCATCCAATAAGCACGCCTCATAGCCAGTTAACGCTAAAGCACGGCTACGGACATTCCCATTTGATCAACCCAACCACTCTCCGACGCAGGGAGGGCTGATTGGCTTAGCCAGGATCCCCCCAGCTAGCTGGTGGCACAACCTAAAGTGCGACCGGATCGCCTGGACTCCCAACCCAGGGTTCCGTGCTGCCTCATGCTGATATTAAGACAGTTCCTCTCATGATTAGGCACAGGGCTGGGCACCCAGCATACTGATGGGAACATCTGTCCAAAGGTCCCTGCTCCGGAGAAATTCTCTCAGTCCCAGAAAATATGGGGGGGACTGCTTGCAGTGGGGGAAGGCGTAAAGGTCGCACATGCTCAGAGCTCAAGTCAGAGCAACGGGAACACAAAGGTCCCAGGCTGGCGCCTTGTTCTCTCTACTGGACTCCCTAATACTGGGAGAGGGTTCCCTTACGTTCTGTGGAGTTGGACCCTGAACAGATCCTCCGCTCAGAGCTGTACCTGGTCACAAGCAGGGCAGCGTGGCCTCAGCAGCTCAGCATGATGACGTCCGCAGTAGAGATGCCCATCGTGGTAGAAGTAGATGAAGTTTATCAGGGCCTGGCCACAGGTCTGGCAGGCAAAGCAAGTCCGGTGCCAGCAGCGCCGCTCTCCTGCCAGGGCTGCAAATACTCCACATTCCCCTGGCCTCAGCCGCTCCCTGCACTGCCAGGTGGAGGTGCTGACTTGTCAGAGGTAGCACCACCCTCCCAGCTTCCCTCCTGGCTCTTCCATCCTAACCCACCTCCCCTGCAGGCTCACCAAGAAGCCCCAAACTTGGTTTCCCTTCTCTTAAGGTTTGCCAGACTATCAATCCCCAAACCCCCTTTTGTCACTAAAGTCTCAGAAGCTAGCTCCTTCTGCAGTACTGAGAGGGCAAAGAGTGGAGGAAGGGGACTATTGGGGCGGGGGGGGGCACTACATACCTTCTCACAGGTGCATTCTTTGAGCTTGGGAGGTACCAGATGCGCCACCCCCTGTCCCAGGGCCTCCCGCCTCCGCTGGGCACAGAAGAGCCGCAGCTCAGCCAGCTCCTCCTCACCAAGGGCCAGGCAGTATCGCTCCTGCAGAAACAGGTTCCATGGTGCCAGAGAGAGCCCCAGCAGGCAAGAGTGGAATTTAAGTGGAGTGAGAAGGGTTAGCTGCTGGGTCAAAGACAGGTTGTAAAACCTCAGGGAGATGCATCCAATAACAGAATAGAAGGGCATTGTGATGGAAAGGGAAAGAGGGATAAGAGTGCCAATAAATCCACCTCAGTCTTACTCCCCCCATGCCACCCAGGAATGGTCATCACTCAGGTCTGACATCATCCACATAGCACGCAGCCCTGTCACCATATACTTAGGTGCTTGCTCCCAATGAGCTGTAGGTCATTATCACTTCCCATGGTGTTTTCCCTATTTATTCCATATTCTCCTGTCTGGTCTTCCCAACTGAATTACAAGTCTTTATTTAGACTAGGCACACATAAGGCCTCAATAAATACTTGACCATACCCCCTACATTTGTACATTCCATTATTTGTTTCAAAAATCGTTCATATCCATGTTCTCATTTGCTCTTCAGTTAAGCATTGTGGTGGGCAGCACAGCCAACATTGTAGATCATTGTACCCATTATGTAGATGCAAAAATTCAGGCTGGGGTGGGGGAATGGCAATGGCTTCCCCCAATTAGTGGCATAGCTAGGCCTTAAATCCATGTTCCCTGACTGTAGGACCAAGGTTCTTCCCACAGCACATAGAGAGAGGGAGGCTATGGAGAGGGAGACCCACATCGCTGTCCTGTGGAGGGAGCTGCTGCAGGAGCGTCCAGAGTCCAGGCCAGTTTGTTCGGTTGGTGTCCAGGTCTGGGAGGCCCCCGCTCAGGACATCAGGATCCTGAGGAGACACAACAGAGGATGAGGAGTGGAGCTAGGTTTTCCTTCTTTTCCCCCTTTCCTTCCCTTTTCATTGCCACCTCTCCCCCAATCTGAAACAACATCTAAGCACCCCCCCCATTAGACAATCAACTTCAAGATCACTAGGACAGCTGATCCATGCCTGCATTTGTAGTCTGACTGGTGGAGGTTGGGGAGGCCTCAAAGCCCAAAACCGCTCCCCTTCTTACTCTTGAAATCACCCCCTTCACTCAGGACCAAAGCCTCTCAGGTCTGCTTTGACAATACAGACCCCCTATAAGAGATAATGTGTATTCATGTGAATACACTTAAAGTCAAACTCTGTCCTGAGGGGGCTGTGCCAATGGACTCCTGCAAAGAGAAAAGGGTCACAAGAGGCGGGGCACAAAGGCTAACTCCTCCCAGCTGGTGGAAATGGGAGGAGGGCCAAAGGGCAGAGGCATGTTGATCTCAGAAGAAAAGGTAGGGCTCCTACTACCTGAGCAGAGCGCTCCTCAGGGTCCCCCTCTGGCAGGTGGCCTGGGTCGCTGTCTAAGTTCGCCATCGGACCTGGCTCCTGAGCGGTGAGGCCCTCCCCTTCGTGGAACCAGGCAGAGTTCAGCACCGACATTGGCGGCAAAATCTGCCCAGAAAATAACAAGAACATCTCCCATTTATTTGGTCCTTACAATGTGCTACTAAGCAGTACCAAGTGCTCTACAGACATTACCTCATTTGATAACCAAGTGAGTTAGGTGGTATTTTTTGTCTCCATTTTACAGATAGCCAAACTGAGGCTGGGTGAGTGTAAATGATATGCCCAAGGTCATAGAGCTAGTAAGTGGTAGAGCCAGATCTTGAGGCCAGGCCTTTCAGCTCCAGGGTTTCTGAAACTCAAACCCTGGGGTCCCCCAAGATTGGAATGGAGGAAAGAGGAGGCAACAGTGGGAGGAGAGGGCATTTTGCCCTTCCGGTGAGCCTTTGGGCAGACTGACCCCTTCTTCCCCACCTCCCTAGCCTTACTGCTCACCAGTTCTCATTGTGTACTTCTGAGGCCAGTGAGTCTGCTTCCTCCCCACTCCCTCCACAGGCCCCAGACTTCCAGCTGTAGGCCTGAGCCAGGTGAAAGGACCACTTCACCAGGAAGCCCTTTCAGCCTCTTCAGCACATAACTGTTCTCCTTTCCCTGAGTTCCAGAAGTAAGTACAATTGGTGTCCCAAGATTTAGCACATAACTTTCTCTTTGCTCCTTGTGTCTTCCTCAGCTCCTCATCTAGTCTACAAGCTCCTCCAGTACAGAGGAAAATCTTGTGTTCCCATCTTCAATCTATAGCGGCAATTTCACTGGACAATTCTAAGTGCGCCTTCAGCCTTCCTCTGGGCAAGCCCTGGTATGACCACAGTGCCTTGGGGGTAGGGGGTGACTACTGAAGTAGAAAAGGAATGAGCCCTGCCCACAAGGAGCTCATAGTCTAGTAGGTAAGACAGAGATGAAACCAGGCAGAGTGGGGCTAGAGCTCTGGGCAGGTATACACAGCACCGTAAGGAGAAAAACAACCAGGGCAAACTTTTCTGTATACTCTGTGCCAGGGGCAATTCTAGCATTTTACATAATATAACCCATCCTCACAACAATCTTATGAGGTGGTTCCTATTTTCCCATTTTATTGTTGAAACAAACTGAGGTTAATTAACTTGCCAAGGTCACATTGGAAGGCTAAGGGGAGCTTTAGGAAAAGATTGCCTTTGAGAGCTGGGGTGGATTCTGACTGGCAGCAGGGCACAGGGGGGCGTCACCAAATCCCTGGCCTCTATAAGACCCTGCTATGGGGGTGGGAACAGCGTTTGGACTTTAACAGTGTGCTGCTTCCCAGCCCACAGCCCCATTCAGCACCCCTTCAGATATCCTGTGCCACCCTTGCCTGTTTCCTGGCCCCACACCCACCTGCTTCCTTCCTGCTCTGTCAGTCAGGTCAGGTTTCCTGTGGAAAGGCAGCCGGCATGGGCCATTCACACTCAGGGCCAGCAGCAGCCACTTCCCCGAACAGTAGTGCCCCTGCCCCGGGCAGCAAGAGGTGCTTTGGGGAGGAGGCCACCCAGGAAGAGGGGGGATACCTGGGGCCCCAGAAGGAGACTTGCGCCCTCTCTTCAAGGTTAGTTCTAGTTCGCATGGAATTGTCCCACATAGAAACAATGAGCAGAAATCAGCCCTCGCCCCTCACCCTTCCATCCCGCACAGGGGCGGCCTAACTCCACCTCTGCTTAGCCCTAGTCCCCACCTTTCTTACATGTTGATTCCTTTCAGAATTCCCCTCCCTCTGGCCACCCCCTCCCCTGCCCCGAGACAAGGGACAAGGCTGAACCCCTCTCCCACCTGCGCGTAGGTGCAACCAAGCTCACGGAGTTCGACCTTCCCGACCTACCCCTCCCCTAAAGAGCAAAGTCTGAGCCGGAAAGGTTTCCCCGACAGTGAGAGGGAGAAGGAGAGAAGTGTCCGTTCCGGCCAAGTACCCTCTGGGTAGATTCCCAAATTATTTTTCTTGGGCTTCGCGGGCCACCCCTTGCAGGCGGGGCGTGGTGTGGTGTCGAGGCAGCTGGGGTTCCCACTCTGGCTGCTGAAGTTCAGAGAAGGGGACGGGATTCTGCCGGGTTCTCACCCTCTCCGTGTCTGGGCGGTTCTGGACAGACCCCGCCGTCGTGCCCCTCACCCAGTCTCCACCCGGAGGCCCAGCGCCCGCCTCCGCCCGCCCCGGGAGCGCAGCCCTTCCTCTCCCACGCCCTCCAGGGCTGGTAGAGCAGGGTGGCTCGGGGAGGGGCCCGGGCTGCAGACTCAGGAAAGCCTTCGTGGGAGCCCGGGGTGGAAAGTGTACTGGCTCCACTGCTCCCCACTGCTATGGGCTCAATGCCGGAATCGCGCCCTTTGGGGCGCCGAGCAGACACCCAGGAGCCTCGTTTATAACCAGTCCTCTGCCACTCGTGGAACATAATGCCTTTCCAAGCACGCAGGTCCCCCCCAACCCTCCCTCTGGTCTTCTGGCCCCGCCCCTCTCTGTGTCCCCACCCCACCCAGTTCCCTCTACTTTCTCCCCAGGGGGCCCTTCCCCTCCCTTCCTTAGCCTCTTTCCTGGGTCTCTTGTACTGCCCTTTTCTCTTTCATCCTTTTAGACCCCTCCCCCATCTTTTGTGTTTTTCCTCCGTCGCTGTCCCTTTCAGCTCCGGGAGTGGAAACCTCTAGTCCCACTTCTGGTCCGCTCAGCCCCGCCCCTGCTCCCGCCCCAGGCTCCGCCCCGCCCCCGCCAGGAGCGCCCAGTGGCTGTCCAGGAGCGCCCTCTGGCGTGTGCACATGCTCCCTGCTCCCGACTGCAAAGTCCTCCAAAGGGACCTTCTAGGCTACGCGCCGGTCGCCCCTAGCGGGTCCGCCCGCCCGCAGCGTCTCGTTGGTGCTGCCGGTGACCTCCGACCCCTTGGCTGCGGGGCGGGGCAGGGAGACCTTAGCTCCGGGCGGCCGGCGGCTGCTGCAGCGGGACCCGGGAGCGGGGCCCGGCGCCGCCCGGGCCGCGGGGCGATGTGAGTGGGGCGCGCCGGGGCGGGGACGAGGCGGCTCCAGAGAGGCCGCACCGCGCCGCGCTGCAGTCTCCGCTCCCATCTGCGGAAATCCCGGGCGGGCGGGCGGGTGGTGGAGCCCCGGGGCTGGGGGCTGGGATCCGGGGACGACGCGCGGAGCCGAGCTCCCCCCATTCCTTCTCGGTGCCTAGAAAGCTCCCTGATGACCCTGCAACCTAAATGCCTCTCAGTCCTCAGAACCACCCCACCCCCATCCCCGACACACCTTCGCACGTCCTGGTGCCCTCAGAACCCCTCACTCCTGCGAATTTGCGATACGCCCACAGAGCCGCGTTCTCTGCTGGATGCCCGAAAATGCTTCCACGGCCCTGAAATTCCTCTGATTCATCATATCCCCCTCCCCATTCTCCTTGCACCATATTCAAATCCAAAAAAACTGCCCATGTTTCCCCAGCCCTCTCATATACTTTGAGTACTCATAACCTCTTAACTCCCGCTGCCAATCCAAACCTATCCCGTACCGGAGCCCCCTTCTCCCGTCCCATCCAATGTAACCTCCCTCATTTGGCTGTCGTGAAATGTCCTGATGATCTTCCTAGAGAAAGGGGGACAGGAAAAGGTGCAACGCCCTCCTCCCTGTAGTCGGTTCTTGGTTTCACCCCCAGACTCCGTGTTGGTTGGTGGCTCAAGCCGCAGTGTTTTCCCAGCCGCCTGTCTTTAGGCAGTGCACACCTCCCTCAGCCTGCTTCCACCTTTCAGAGAAAAAGCCAGACCCAGTGGGCAGGGGTCCATTCACCTGAGAAGCTTTCCAAGGATGCAGATCACAAGGGCCCTGGGAAATGATAGTGTTTTTACAGAGACATGGGTGGGATTTCAAGAGTCTCCAGGGTCCTGGCCTGTCAGGTTGTCTACCTGCCACTAGATCCCTGAAGTTTTGGTTTATTGTTAGCATTGATGTTAAAACTTTAGGCCTTTGAAAGCTTGGAGAACAGAAAATCTAAAAAAGCTTCCAAATGTGAGATTGTCCTGAAAAGGGAAAATTTTCTTGAGGTTTGTCCACATACTTACCTCTACAGGTTATTTAAGTTGCAAAGCTCCACGGTTTACAAATATTTCCCTTGAAAACTAAGGCCTGGGAGTGGGAGTGGGGAGGATTTGACTTGGCAGTCTCCCAAACACTTAGTAACAACAAAACAGACTGCAGTATTAATTTCTGAATCTTAAGCCAGTGCTCTTTCTAATACATTATAGTGTTGTTTTTTTTTTTTTTTTTTGAGAAACCCCTTTGTAAAGTTCTCTGCAAAGATAAGATGGTAGTTTTGGTGTTGGTTGTAACAGGATTCAGATGGGGTCTGAGGCCCCTTAAAAGATCTTGTGCTGCCTCAGACTTTGCTAGGGGAGTATCTTCCCAGGCCTTATGGAGCTCAGAATTTGTGGTCCCTTTGCCTTTGATCTTGCTTTATTCATTGGTGTTTCTGTCCCATTACAATCTGGAACAGATACCCAGGTGTCATGGACTGACAGCAAGTCAGTTTCATTAACAATTGGTGAGGATGGAATGTTTCAACTAACCTGAGGTCTCTGCCTCCTATGCTAGGTGAACCCCAGGTGTGTCCCGGAGGGATCCAAGTGACTTCTCTGCAGACCGCTTGCCATGATGCCCCACCACGAACAGGGGGAATAAAGTGGGGGCCTTTCCCCCATGCCCCGCCAATGGTCAGTTCCCCAATGGCCTGGGTGAGGTGAGAGCTATGTATAGGAGCCACTTCCCTGTCCAAAGTTGAGAGGAATGGAGGGTGCAGGTCAGGCTTGTGCATGGCTTTATACATTCAGCAGTAGTTCTAGAAGGATATCTAATCTTGCATGCACATTTCTTGCGATACGCCCACAGAGCCGCGTTCTCTGCTGGATGCCCGAAAATGCTTCCACAGCCCTGAAATTCCTCTGATTCATCATATCCCCCTCCCCATTCTCCTTGCACCATATTCAAATCCAAAAAACTGCCCATGTTTCCCCAGCCCTCTCATATACTTTGAGTACTCATAACCTCCTCTTAACTCCCGCTGCCAATCCAAACCT